AATAAACAAGCAGAAAGCAACATTCATGAGACTGAGTCAAAAAGGACAGAGCAGCGTTTAAGGGCCTCCTCCTCTTCTGCACATAACACAGGCACTTGTGTCATATGAAGAACTAACTCGTCTCTTACAACACAGTTTTGTTTAGAGACTGGATCACTCCCTCTAGTAGGAGAGCCAAATCTCATTAAGGGTGATTTTCCAGAGGCAACTGGTATCTCCCGGCAGAGTTTAAAGCAGATTAGGACTTTGGACATGTCTACAAAGACATATCCAGCAATTGTGTTCAGTGTTCAATTCTTTTGATCTTCCAGCCCGCACAAGCTTGAAAGGCTGGTAAATACGGGCACTGGAGATTTAACTGAGGAAATAATAATAACACAATAATTAAACTCTTAGGTGGCATTTTTTATCTGCAGCTGTCCAGCCCTTTTTCAATGGAAATAGAGAGCACAAAGCTGGAGGATGTGATGCAGCCTTGCAGGAAGACCCCCTGCTGTCACACATATCAAGTCCCTTTCATAGCTGTACCCAAGTCCAGGTTAAAAATAATTTATTTTCCTAGCCATTACTCCTGCTGAGAAGCTCTTTCAGGATTTCACTGCTGCAGTGATTACTGGTCAACTTAATTTTGGCTACGTATTTTTCATCCCAGTTTCCTTTATTAGTGGAAATTATTACATGCCCTTGGTTTTTTACTCTCCCACTGGATGTGTTCACGGGCAACTACCATTGCCTATCTTTGCTTTTCCAGGCAGAAGATAAGCTCATATTGCCTATTCTCACAAGTGCTCCATTCCCCAAGCTCCATTCCTTGCAGCACTTCACAGGTCTCCCCATGGGAAGCCACCCTCTTCCACTCATCTTTACGTTCTCCCAGGCAATCCATGTTTCCTAAATGGCACCACATTGATGTGGTAATAAAAAAATAGCTTTTACATTCTCTCCTAGCAAGGAGTGATCAGTCATACAGGTCTGCCACTTTTAGGTGGAAATGTCAATCTCTGATCTTTCTCTGCTGTGCTTCTTCCTGCATTTTACTGGCTTAGATTCAGCAGGTAAGCTACCCATCAGCTTTGATCAAAGGCAGGGCATGTGTTTCTCCCTTGAGTGGATAGCTCTTCTCTACTCACAAAAAGGAGGCTCTAGTCCCCAGCATCCACGGGCTAGCTGGGTTATAATAATGAGAGCTGAGAAACTACCATGGCTTGCCCACTGTCTCCTCTGAGTTCTCAAATTGACGTGGTTAAGTCCCACTCAAAAGGAAAAGCGTGGCAGCAGCACACTGAGGATACCTGTAATGATACCCTTTAATTACTTGGTTCAGCTGTGTCCCCAACTTGATAGCCACAAGTTACTTGAGAGTCTGGTTTTTTTTGCAAGTAAACAAACATAGTATCAACTATTTCCAGTCATAGCCTGGCCTTCCAGAGGCCCCACTTACGACTACATGCATTTGGGAGCCAAAGCAAGCAAACAGGATGATTCATTTAACCCACAGCTTAGCAAATGGATGAATCCTTTGTAACTAGGGCAAAACAGGACCTCTAAGGTTGTAAACTTGTAGCACCATTCAAACCCTGTGAGACAGAAACACTGGTAATGCCTCATTGCCCACAAAAGAATCAAGACTTGCGTTTCTATGATATTTAAGTACATAAAAGTGAAGTGCCTATGGCACGACTCAACAGATGACAAACCAGTAAAAACAGTCAGAAAGAGAGGACCTTCACTTCTTGTCAGGACTGAGAGATCAACTTTTTCAACATGTTGCAAAGGAGTTTGCTGTTTACACCTGAAGCTGTTTTCAGGTCCTGAGACAATTTAGACTTATGCAAAAACCTAAAATTGGTAGGAGGGACACACAACTATAAAAGCCAAACTACACTTGGCAGTAAAACATTCAGTAATGGATGAATATTCCAAGTTCTAACAAGTGAGCTTGGATCTACGTGAGCTTGTAAAAGTTTCCCTGTTACTATTAGGTGCCCTTGAGGAGCTTCAGGAAGATGGCAATCTGTCCTTCTTGAAAACTTGCTGGTGCTAATGCGTATCCTAGCTAATGCATAGACTGATACAGACTGTAATTTCCAGTGCAATGAACACACTAAAGCAGACTAATGAGCTCTATATATATTTTTAGTGGTTTTCTTATCGACAGCCTGTGTTTGCCCGCTGGCAGCAGGCTAGTTTTATGATATTTCATTTGCACATAACAATATTTTTTCCGGTCTCCTGCTGTTGCCCAGCAGTGCCTGCTTGGAGCAGGCAGGCGCTGGTTGCAGTGGGAGCTGAGCTGGCTCAGTGCTGTGGGAGGGCAGGGAGCCCCCACTGCTTCGCGCATGCTTGAGACCCCCCTGCTCCCCTGCAGTGGCACAACAGAGCTCGTCCATGTCCCAGGGAGGCTCTGTGGATTTCCACTGCACACCCACACACTCTTTCTTTTGTTCCCGTAATAGCTCTGGCACTTCATGACTACATGGTTCATGAGCCACAAAACTTTTTACCAAGGCATTGACCAAATATTTTGTGCTTACCTCTTATGCTGGATTCCTTTTGTGCAGGCACAACACATGCCTTTCTGCCTGCCTCACAAGCTCTTACAGTATTTGCATTTAGTGTGAGCTTGTGTCCTTGCGCATTAAAGTTATTTTCTGAGAAAGCCCAGCAGCCTTGATTGTGTGAAAGGGATTAAGTCCATTTCTTCCTATAACCTCTCTGATACCCTGAAATCCAGTAGTCCACAACCAATCATTCACAGAATCACAGAATCACAGAATCACAGAATCACAGAATAATATGGGGTTGGAAGGGACCTCTGGAGATCCTCTAGATCAAACCCACTGCCAAAACAGGTCCAGCTAGAGCAGGTTGCACAGGGACATGTCCAGGCGGGTTTTGAATGTCTCCAGAGATTGAGAGTCCACCACCTCTCTGGGCAGCCTGTTCCAGGGCTCTGCTACCCTCAAAGTAAAGAAGTTCCTCCTCATGTTTAGATGGAACTTCTTATGTTCAAGTTTGTGCCCATTTCCTCTTGTTCTGTCGCTGGGCACCACTGAAAAAAGACTGGCCCCATCCTCTTGACACCCACCCTTTAACTATTTATAGGCAATGATCAGATCTGCCCTCAGTCTTCTCTTCTCCAGACTAAAAAGACCCAAGTCCTTCAGCCTTTCCTCAAAAGAGAGATGCTCCAGGCCCCTAATCATCTATATAGTCCTCTGCTGTACCCTCTCCAGCAGTTCCCTGTCCTTCTTGAACTGGGGAGCCTAGAACTGGACACAGTACTCCAGATGGGACCTCACCAGGGATTCCTTTGTGCATTCCTGTAATCCAGGGCGGATTCGTCTTACTTTGTCTTAAATAGGTGAAAAAACACAAGCACCTCTAGAGGGCAATTCATCCCATTTATTTTAGGCACTGGAGATAACTCTTTCTCCACAGAGTGGAGAGGAAACATCAACTCCTGGCTTGGACCAGCTGTATTCCTTTCAGCTGGTTGAAGGTTGGATGAGGGGGACCCCACCCTAGGCTATCTTTAGCAGCTCCAAGGTCATGAGTGGACAGGGAGCTCTCAGCTCCAAAACATAAAATCTATTCCTTACTTTGTTTTGCTCTCCTAGGCCTCTTGCTTTTCAGCCTTGAGTCAGAATATTCATCAAACGCTTTCATCACTTGTTCTTATATTTAAAGCATTATTCCTGGCAATGGTATTTCACATTTCTTGTCCTCCTGCATGCATACACCCCCTTCACAGCTACTAGAATAAAAAAAAAAAAGTAACCTTCTTATCTTGATCTGCAAAGATCAGCTCTGTGCACAGATCCAATTCTTATTTCCATTCACTCCCACATTTATTTAAGGGTTTCACTTGGGAACCACAGATCTAATTATCTGGTGCTCTCCAAATTACGTTTACTTTCTTTTGAGTGCTACTCTGGTCAAACATCAGTTATGCTGCCTATTTAGATGGAAAGCTGACATCAAGATCACATATGCAGAGCAAACCAAGAAAATAATTGTTAACTGAATGCATATTTCTTGAAAAGAGCTACTTCTGCAGGAGCAGCCTCTGCCCTGGATGCTGGTTCATGCCAAGACACCAGCCTCTGCTCCTCTGTAGGTGTGCCTTTGAAGTTATTGCAGGTGGCTGAGCTCTCTGGCAAATGCTATAAACCCTCGCAGTCCCAGGAATGAGGTGGCCTTGTCCTCATTACATCATTAATTTTTCTGAAGAGAAACATTGTGATGCAGGCCCAGAATTCTTAATGTGAAGTAGCATTCCCCAATATTGTATTTCTTTTCAGGTCCAACAGTAAACCAGTACAAGTCCTCAGTCTCAACTTCCCTTGAGATTCAGGACATTTTCTCCTCTAAGTACATTGAGACTAATGACTCTGAACTTCCCCGGATGGACCTACTTAAAATACAGTGACAACTGAAGTTCTCTAATTTTGAGTGAAAAAAGAAGACAAAAATTTTGTCTTTGGGAAACTGAGTAAGATAAATCCCATTGCCTGGGGAGCACATGCTAAATTCACACCCCCACAGTGACAATCTGTGTTAACCTGCGTTTCCAGACATCCTGGCACAGAACTCAGTGGGGGACACACAATATTTCAACAGCTGGTAGCTGGTAGAAATACTATCCCATACCACCTGCCCAGAGTGAGCCCAAACACTTGGGGGACGGCAGACCAAGGACAGCCGTGAACATGGTGGCAGTCAGGAGAGGAGTTTGGTCCATCAGGATTTGGTCTCCCTTGGGTGTGAAAAGGCACAGCCTTGGGGTGACAGCAAGCACGACAGAAGACAGAGCCGGGGTCACTGCACTCCAAGGAGACCAGCCCCTCTGCAACAGAGCGCTGGAAAAATCCCACCTCTCTGGGAAAGAGCTGCCACCCCCAAAAGAGCCATCTCACATCTTCTTTCAACTCACACACTAGCACTTTGGTTTGTTTTTCACTTTTTTTCTATTTTTCACATAACATTTTCAAAAACAATATAGGCCATGTTACCTTTATTTATAACCATACAAATTGATGTAAAATATTTACATTATGTCGGTCACTTGTTAACTGTCTTATGGCACCAATACTCCATATACCAAAAGTTCTACTTCTTTTCCACTACTTAGTGAAATCCAACCCTGTTCCTACAGCCAGATGTGTTATCACACTACTCTTAGATGATACACATGGTCAGGAAGAATAAATCACATTTTGAAAGGTTACACTTATTGGCAAACCTAATTTGTTCTTTAGTTATATACCAGTAATTGCTTGATAAAAATGAGCATTGCTGATGTACCTAAAACATTTTTCACATTCCTTCCAGCAATCGTCAGTTCATCTACAGTTTTTTTCCTTCAAAGAACAAATGTCCAAGTGGATCGACTGTTTTCCACACTTGCAGCCATGTTTTTTCCATCTGCCCGTAAAATATATGTATTCTTTATCATCATCTTCAACATCCTGTACTTGGAAACAGTAAGTCCTGTGGTATTCTTTTGTTGCCATTGACTCAGACTGTGTTAGAAGTCAAATCTCTGTGCCCGTATCTTCGGAGCAAACATTTAGAATATTTAAAGGGAGACTTTGGCTTAAATCTCAAAAATGTGGAGGTTCCTAATTCAAGCCACATCCTAGTCATTAAAATCCTTCCACATATTTATTGGGCAAAACTCAGAACTAGCTATAAGTGGTGGTGGAAAGGAATTTGATTATGGCCTCTCCCAGATGGATGCGAGTCGTTCATTTCCGTCATTTGTGGGACCGCAGGCAGTTCTAACATTCTTACTTTACAATTTTTTTCTTTGGAGCTGATGTTTTTCCTGATTATGTTTTTTCTCCGCAGAGGTTGAAAAACTTCTGGGTGATTTACCTGAACAAAAAGCATTATCTTTGGCATCTGTGAGAGGTGCCAATTATGGGTCTGTAACAATATAGACCTTAAGGCTGGATCCCTTCCCCTCCCATACAGATGAAGATAATACACATTACATATCATGGAACTATTTCTCGACTATCATGTTATGTCTTGGAAGAGGAAGTAACCAAGTTATTTTACTCATTCCGATCCTCGAGACACAACATGGTCACTGATTATTTATTGCTCCCTTCTGATTTATATCAAGTCTGGAATACAGTTAGATTAACCTAATGGGCAGCAATTTGCATCATGAGTAATCGATTTGCAAACTTCAAGATAAAGGACACAAGGTTCCTGAAGCTGTACCAGCCTTATACTGGTGCAGATTCATTGTTTATGGGAATCTATGGCAGACTTTTATACTCATATCAGAGAGAAGAATCGGGCCAGTCATGAAAGAGTTAGAGGCACAGAAGGGCAAGACCAGATTGTTACTGGTAAACTGTCAAATCACTTCCAGGAATAAAACTTTTTGTTAGTCAAATGACTCTCAAAACACTAAAACATCCCTCCAAATTCTTTTCTTGGCAAAGATAACAACATGTTACAGCTGCCAATGAATCTCTAGCTATGAGATATTGGTAGATAAAACAGAACTGAATTCTCCAGTGTACAATTATCTGTTATGTTGAGGCAGTTATTTCTTGGGGAGGGATTTTCTGAGACAGTCTGTTTAAGCAAAGAGTAATCCAAATGGTGAAAAAAAATTTAGATTTTCTGTGGAAAAGTTCATAGATATACAGTTACCATGACAATTGTATTTGGCTCTGGAAAATGAAAAAACTGACTCTTTTTAGACTGAAGTAAAATATAATGAGTTTGGATGCATAAGAAAACTGCATTTTCACTCTGGTGTCAAACAGTCCTCCTGTAACAACCTTTCTTAGCTTCTGCTTTTAGATTTTAGGGGGTTTATTTTCCTTTTTTTTAAACAATACGACTATTGGAATTAGAAAGGGCGAGAGCACCTCCCTTGCCCTACCCTTCCCATATCCAGGGTACGCACGCTCCTGGTATCTTGTGTTCCAAAATCCTACAGGTTGCGCCTTAGCTGCAAAATAACAGAAGCAGGTTTCCTGCATCTAGGCAGCACGAAAACACAAACTTGTGTTTACAACTTCATCAGACCGTAGTAGACTTGGAGAAGAGGAAAATAGCTGATAGGTATCCATCTGCTGGGAAAGCAGCATGTCTGGTCCGAAAAGTCTCTCTCTGTCTCTTGCGAAAGATAGCCAGGATGATTTTTTTTATTCTGTTGGCGATCGGAGAATAAAGAAGATTTTTTAAACCTTTGGTATTGCGTATCCTTTATCTGCTCTCTGCTTCCAGCACTTGTGTATGCATATCCCCCCCAGGATCACGCTAGCCAATGCGACAGGAATCGTTGCGACGTACCAGGACAAGCCAACAGCTGGAAAAGTAAAGAAATTAAATATTAATTAATTAAATAAATAACCTCCCAGGAACATAGTTCTCTAAGTTCAAGGAGGAAGAGGAGAAATCACAATAAAAAGGATGTCTGCAAGTTAACCTTCCAGCAGGGTTGACCACCTGTGAAAGGAAGAGGCCTATTGATTGAGCGCTCTGGGAAATGGGTGTATGAAGATGGGAGGAAGAATTGGAAAACAATAGAGGGTGAGAATTTAAAGTTCAACCCTTTTGCATACACATGACTCTTCCCAACCCCTGCTCGGGGCAGCTATGTACTTTCTATCTTAGCTTGGTGGAAGCAGAGACACTCCAAGCAAGAAATAAAAGAACTGTGTAGAGAGGGAGTATGTAACAGCTAGTCCACCCTCAAGCTCTGTGAATATTTCTCGTATTTTCTCCAAAAAATTACTAATGAACAAACCAAGACTCAACTTTTCCCCAAAATACAGCTAATTTCCAAGTGTTCATCCACACCATTTGGGATTATTCCAGCCTATACTGGTTTATGGATTATCTCCTCTGTAGTAATACCTGTGTAGCCATGGAAGACAAAGGCAGCACATCATCTTGCAAAGCGAGTACAAATCCCTCATCATAGGATGCTGGAATGAGTCACGAGGTATAACTCATAATGAAGACTGTAAATGTTCATGTGCCTTTCTAACACAGTGTGAGCAAGCTTCGGTGATTCATCAATGTCATGCAATGAAACAATTAGGATTGCTTCACACTGTTTTTACAGCTGGTTCTTGGCCAATGGTCTATCACACTGCAACATTAATTGCTCTGAGCTTGGGGTTTCTCTTCCCATCATTAGGAGCCAAAATAACAACACCCATCATAATTTACACCTCTTGTTATTTTGGCAGCAGTCTGTGCATGAGGAGAAGGAACACTCTGATCTTTGTTCTGCTATTGTCTTTTTTTTTTCCCACTACTTGTTGAGGAACTGGAGGAGATCTGGCCCTGCTGCACCCAATAGAAGTTTGCCAGTAGTCTCCCTGGAGCCATCATTTCACAAAGTGTATCTAAATCGGAGACCTGTCCAGTAAACAGTTATATCAGCACAGATCCTCAGCCCTGCAGGAAGTGCCTGTGAATGACCCACAGAAAGTGAGTGAACAGGCTATTCTAAAGTCTTCAGGTGAAAGAGGCAACCAATTTTCTGCCAGGCAATAATTCATTCCAATACAAGCTCTGACAGTATAAAAGGCTTAGATGATAATTTAGCATTAGAATAATGCTTATCCCAAATAAGCATTCAAGCTAGTTACCTTCCTGCTTGACCCTTGTTGGCAGTACTTGGTAGCCATATGTGTTCTGGGCCAAACATGTAAAGTCTGTGTGAAAATCCACTTCTTCAACAGAATCAAAAACTAGTGGCACTTCAATGAAGTTTTCACCATTTTCTACAATTTCTCTGGAAGAAAAAGAAAAATTTGTTAAATCCTTTTATAAACTAGCTTTTCTCTATTTGATGTGTTCATTCTAACAGCACACTGCAAGAAAATGCATTGGCTAGTTGCTCATTTCTGAACTAGCCCCTCAGCATTAGAGGACACCTGTGTTTTCCAGCCCAGTTGTGCCAACCATTTGAGTCTCAGAAGTCAGTACCCATCCTGCACTTCCTAAATCTTCCAGAAAAAAAAAAAAAAAACCACCAAACCCAAACAACTGGATTTTTTCTGACAAAAATAAAGAAAAAGGAGGGAAGAAAGGCAATCAGAATTCTTTTTATCTTTGAGCTCTCTACACAATTTTGTGGAAGGACCTAATTCCTTCTCTCTGACCACCTATTAATTCCTTGGTAGGAAGATCAATTCTTACTGTCAGTTGGAAGAGGACATATGGAGAACATAACCCTGCAAACTGAACCACCGTTCCTGTCTATCATGCTCCCAAAGCCAAGAGCTCAATACAAGAAACTGTCTAGGAAGTTTCCAGCTTCCTTCAACCTGATCGTTTCATCAGTCCGACCATTTAAAAGTGGTTTTCTAGCTGCAGTCAGACATTGTCTCTTGATATCTTTTAGTCATGGCTGCAGCAGTTGTCCAGCTGCTCTTTAATGATCTGACCATCTGTCTGCTATGCCCTGCAGTAATGGAGTTCCCTGCGCATTCCTCCCCTGGACCGTACTGCAGGAAAGCCACAACACGGTGGCGGGTGCTCTGCCAGAGATTTTGTCTGCAGGGAATTTGTCTTCCCAGTGGCAGTTGGTCTGTTTTGCCTGGCTGCCCTTCGAGGGCTTCCAGCAGAACTGGGGTGTCTCACACACTCTTGGCTCCGCATGAGCCATAGCCTGCATGGTCCCCATCTTCGTGCAATTGTATAATATATAACAGTAATAATCACAGAATGGCAGGGGTTGGAAGGGACCTCTGGAGATCATCTAGTCCAACTCCTCTGCCAAAACAGGTTCACCTAGAGCAAGCTGGACAGGAATGCATCCAGGCGGGTTTTCAATATCTCCAGAGAAGAAGACTCCACAACTTCTCTGGGCAGCATGTTCCAGTACTTTGTTACCACTATCTGATAGTGACAGTAACAGTAAAAATAATTTCTAAAGTCCAACTAAGAAAGTACACGTGCTGCTCTACTCTAAAGCCTGCAGAGACTGTAGCCACTGTATGTTTTATGGCTCCTGACCACAAGTTTAATCCCCTGTCGCTTATCCATGTAAACAACACTTTAAATAAATGGTTTCAATCATGCTGTGGGGTATGTGAAAACACAGAAGTGCTTGGGCATACAGTTGAGTTACCATGTCACCTCCAGCTGCAGCTGTGCAATAAACTAGATATGACCAGGTAGTTATCTGGCACTGATAGCCACAAATAGCCCAAACCAGCTCACATCCATAACTGTTAAACACTCTTGTCCCTCAAAATAAGGATACCACATCCCCAGGCTCTGTTGGGAATGGTCCCTTGCCCCATGTTAAATCCTTATCAATAGCAAGGAGCTCTTTGGGAAGGTGTTACCTGGTGAGTGACCAGTTTAACCATTAAGAACGGAGACAATGGCATCCCGGAGTCCAGGAGACTCCCTGGCTCCACTCAACAGTAGAGGCAGAGCCACCATGACCCAGGTGAGGGTGATGGTCTGCGTGGACACTCTCAGCTTCGTCAAATGAGAGATAAAACACACCAACCTGGACCTCAATGAAGAGACTCCAGTGGGTAGGTCTACCTCACATTTGCAAAGCACCAGAAGCTTGCCTGCACGCAGTGAGTTCCTGCTGCTCAAGAGACAGGTACAGAAAGCAGATCTTTTCCCTCCTTTCCTCGCGGGAAAAGCCTTGAGGCTTGCAGCTATGAGGCAGATGAGAGAAGGCTCCTCAAGATGGGGAGAGACAATGGAACAGGGCAAGAGGATGTGGGACATCCTGCTTCGCCCTCCCACCAGCATCCCCCTCACTGTTTCCCTGGCACCAGCCCTAGCAGTCCCTGGCGTCTCTGTGAGTCAGTTTAACTCACTGATGTGGAAAAGAACAACCCTAAGGGGAAAAAACAACGGTATTTTAAAACAAAACAAAACACTGGATATTTTTCTGTTGTATGGGTGTATTCAGAGAACCTCGTGAATGCCAGGGAGAGGATGTTGCTGTTTCGCAGGCACAGGCAAGGAAAAAGATAAGAGAAGCACTGGGAAGGATCAAGTCCCATTGCTTCCCACTGCAGCCAGCTCTTACATCAGCTCAGCTGCCCAAGAAAATGTGCTTCAAGTCGAAGCCTCAAAGTTGGGTCATTTGCAGTACACCATGAATACAAACCAAAGATAAGGAATTTATTTCACCCTGTCTGGGTTGGGTTTGGGGTTTTTCTTTCTTGCCTGCCTGGTTTGTTTTCTATAGCTCTCAGCTTCACTTCGGATCTGTCCCTTACGTCATTATCTGGCATTCAGCTGCACTGAGAGCCCCTGCCACACTGCAGGTTAAAACAACAAGCAGAAGAAAACACTTTCAGGCAGACTTACTGTCGCTCCCCCTCTGTAACTCTGCTTTGCTTGTAAACCACATCAACGGCGGTGTCATTTGCTAGCCATTCCACATCAGTATGGACGTGCCTGCTCAGTCCAACAAACACTTTGCAGGGGAGAGTCATCTTGGAGCCTGTTGGTAAAAGAAAGATTAGAAAACTATTTGGATACGTATGGAGAACTACTCTTTTGCTTGGTGAAAACCAACATCTCCAGTGGAATATCAAGTTCCCACACACGTCAAACACCACTACATGCAAAACTGAGGTTAAGCCCCAGATCACTTTTGATCTCCTTCTTGGCAGCAAGACCCTTCAGTTTGGCAGTCTGTCCTGCTACTAACCTAATCGCTTTCCCATTGCAACAGTCAACAGCTCTTGCACTCTAGTCACATTCCTCAGGAGGCAAAGCTGTATTCCTGTGGCCTTGCTCCTTCTGACGTATTGCAGCCCAGAGGGCTCAGTGTGATTTACGGCTCTGGAGCAACTGCATTAACCAGCAGTGTAGCTTCACACGGAGATGCTGTGGCCAAGGACATTCAGCTCAAGGTGGGACCTCCAGAGATAAAGTGATTGTGCAAAAATTCAGAAATTTTGCTATAATTATTTTAACTCAGGGCAAAGGATAAAAAGCCTTCTGACCCCTGCTATCTATCTATCTATACTAATCTATATTAAAAGGAAAAAACTCGGTAGTCCCATACTGGCAGAAAGAAATGCGGCAGGGAAAACTAAGACATCACAGAACGCAGCTGTATGTATAGTACCCAAGTTTAAACAAGCTCAGTGTAAAATATAGCTGGCATTTTCTGGAAAGAGGAAATGCAACAGAAATTTTTTGTCACAATATAATTCTCAAAGAAAAATTGAGATCCTACTTTCTAACAACAACTGTCTAGTTCAAACAGTAAAAAGCAATGAAAAAATGCCTCCTCTCGAAAGAGCTAGATGGCTCGTTTAAAGCCACCGGATAACCTATGACAATTTAAGGAAATGTTGAAAAATGAAAGTTCTTAGTGAAGGGGGAACTCTGGAGAGCTGATCTAATGGTGCAAGTAAGTTTTTATTGCTTTGTTAGTGGCTAGAATCCACAGCAGTTCTGCAGCTTTTCCTACATGGGAGATAGCACCTAGTTGCAGACAGTAGGAAGCAAAAACTATGCCAGTACTGACCCGCAGCTAATAAAATCAAGATCAAAAGTACTACAACAATTTATGCCAACAAGTTACACCAGAAGAGGACCTGCTCTACCTTTTCTCTGATTAGATGTTTCCAAAAATAACAGTGGGCCTTACCGAGAGCAGCCGATGTTGTCTTTTGTGTTGGATACACGATTATTGGGATAATTCTCTTTTCTTGTTCTGCAGAGAGAAAGAGAACAGAGAGTCAGTGCTAGCGCCAGAGAAACTTGTGGGCATTGCCTCAGAACTAGAAACAGAAACGTGCCACTCTGCTCAACAGCTTTCAGTTGCTTATTAAACCCACTGGCAGAGAGAAATTCCCATTTCAAGCCCATCTCTTGGAAGCAAAGGTAACATCAGGCACTAAGCACGACCCTTTTCCTGAGCAGCGCGGGACGAGACCCTCGCACACCCATTTCACACGGGCAAACACCTCCCTCATCCCCCTGTCCCCAGGCCAGCCCCGGGGTTCAAAACCTCCTTCCACCAGCGGACGGCAGCTCCCAGACGGAGAAAGCAGCACCCCGGGGGCTTCCCCCTTTGAGCACCTTGATTCTATGAAAAGGGGTCACGGAAATTGTTGGAGAAAATCCTTTTTGAAGATTTGCCACTCTCATTGTCTGATCTTTTTCCCCCTCCCCACAGGACGGGTTGATATGGTGCTGGGGGACACGGTTTAAGGATGGGGTTTTTTTTGTCAGAGTTGGGTTGATGGTTGGACTAGATGATCTTGAAGGTCCCTTCCAACCTTACATGATTCTATGATCCTATTCTATGACCGACCACCCCCCCCGGCCCATTCACCCCCCGGCGCCGCTGGGGAGGGCGAGTGGCTGCGGGGCGCTGCGGGGGGGGCGTGGCGTGGCGAGTGGGCGGGGCCACGGGGGGCCGTGCCGGAGCGCCGGGGCACGCCCGCCCCCTGCCGGTCGCCGGTCGCTACGAGTCGCCCGCAGCCCTTCGCCGAAGAGGGGGGGCTTTCCCCCCAAACCGAGCGTTTTATTCACAGAATCACAGAATCGCCTAGGTTGGAAGGGACCTGTAAGGTCACCTAGTCCAACTGTCAACCTAACTCTGACAAGGAAAAAAAAACCTGCCAAAAAACCCCCACCAACACTAAACCATATCCCCGAGCACAATGTCAACTTGTCTTTTGAACACCTCCAGGGATGGTGCCTCAACCACTTCCCTGGGCAGCCCATTCCAATGCTTAATAACACTTTCAGTGAAGAAATTTTTCCTAATATCCAACCTGAACCTCCCCTGGTGCAGCTTGAGGTCGTTTCCTCTTGTCCTATGTCCTGTGACTTGGGAGAAGAGACCGACCCCCACCTCTCTACACCCTCCTTTCAGGTAGTTGTAGAGAGCAATAAGGTCTCCCCTCAGCCTCTTCTTCTCCAGGCTGAACAACCCCAGCTCCCTCAGCCTCTCCTCATAAGACTTATTCCCCAGACCCCTCACCAGCTTCGTTGCCCTGGGTGTTTTGTTTCCTGAGCCCTCTGACATCATTTGCGGTCACACCACCGACGTGTGTCCCTTCCCCCTCCCCCTCCACTGCCAAGACATAAATTAGGCAGTTTAACAGCCGCAAGCACTTGCCACATTGTGTGTTGCCTCCCGCCAATCTGCGGCGAGTCATTGGAAGGGGTGGGCAAGCCCAGCTCTGCCAGGGGTGCTGTGGGAAACCCACCAGGCACCCATGGCGTCCCCTTTCCCTTGGCAGCCCGAAGAGGCCGACTATGAGTCCCTTTCCTCAGTTTGACCAACAAAGGCAGGATTTGCCAAAGTTCTGTAATATTTTAAGGGGTCTGTATTTACCAACGGTCTCCAGTTGAATTGTTCTGGTGATTTCATAGGTTACGCCTTCGTAGGGAAATGCCATCTTGCAGGTGTAGTAGCCAGCGTCTGTTGGTAGCACAGAAGTCATGATCAGAGAGGTTGAACCTTTCAGAATTATGTATTTTTCACTGATGTCTTCCAAAGGCAGAGCATCCTGCAGAAAGGACAGCAGCTGGTGTTAAAGCACAAATAGGTGTGGCTGTGCCCTGTGTAACTCCCAGACAAAATGACCTATCCCCATTTCTCTCTTATTGAAAGTTCACTTATCCCTGTGAAATCTGAGCAGTTCCACTTTCTCACCAAAGGGCAAGTTCTTCAAGTGTGTGTCTGTCTTTAAAATGTTCTGAGGCACTATATGAAGGGTGAAAACTATAAGTGTGCATATAGCTCTTCAATAAATGCACATTTTAAGATGCAAAAGATATAATAGGCTCTTTTCTGAGTCCTCTTAAGACTAATCATCTAAGACATTCTTCTAAGACAAAACCATTTTAATAACCATGGAAGTTTTCGCAACACTGTTACTTCCCATACGTGACCTCATAAGAGTGATAGTCTAAGCCATTCTTCTAAGATAAAGATGTTTTAGTCACCATGCAGACTTTCACAAAATTATTATGTGCCCTACGTCGTCTCATAAATTGTGACAAACTCCTGCTCTGTCTCACCAATGCTCTGTCTATACATGGGTTGAAGCCCTGCTAGGAGCAGTGACGCTCCTTCTCCATGAAGGCAGGCGAACTCTTTCTGACATTTGTAGCTAGAACTATGTAAAGGAGAGTAGCCTTGTACTTAAATAAGTAGGTTATAGCCTGCTTCTGAGCAAAGACGTTTTGCTGGGGTGCCACCAGTCATGACATAGGGGCTGCCATATAAAGCCAGCCTGGGTGTTGCATCCTATGGCAAGGATGACAGCGGCCCAAGGCAGAGCATATGGTCATAATGTGAGTCCAAATAAAAGCTAAACCAAGGCATTATGAAAATAGAAGAATACCGTGCTGTCCCATGCAAGACCTGACGGCCGAGGACAGTCACATGAGGGCTATTTAACTTTACAGGCACTACCAGGCTTGCCTACTTGAAAAATGGTGGGCTGGCAAGTTAGGCAAGAGGCCATTATCAACTTTGTGTGATGGATCTAGTAACTCCAAATGCTGTATTCCAGTTGATTAATGAAAGCTACCCCGTCTGAACAGCTCACATGGGGGTAGCACCACTGAGAGGTCCTACTTTATTGGATTCACTAGAGGGGCCATAAAAAAGAGCATAGCACCAAAGAAAAGGGCCTAATTCTGAAGTAGCAAACCCTGGGATCAGGGTAGGTTACCCATCTTTAAAAATAGTTATACTGGCTGTTAAAGCATACAACATGAAGCATTTCACCCAATGTAGACTCCACCCTGGAGAACCTTTCTTACAATATATACATCAATCTGCCCCCAAATTCCCAGTATATTATGCTATAATGTTAAAATGCTCATGACTTTACCAACATGATGTTCAGGAGAAACAGAAAGTGGAGATGTATGTGCCTTTACAAATGGATTGGGATTAGGCTTTGCACAAAGAAGAGTTGAAAGTTCTACCTTGTACCACTTGAGCTCCAGGCTTGTCCGGTTTGGTGTAAAATCCCACAGGTCAGGGCAAACAATCTTTCCAGAGGTGAAAGTGGACAGGACCTGGAGATAGGCAATCTCCCGAGCAGCTGTTTTCTCCAGGACTGTGAGGTGGATGGAGACCTCAGCACAGTAGGAGGAGTTCCTGAAGACAGTGAGGGGAGAAGTGAACACCCATCAGTGAAGAGGGGAACTCAAGTGACACTCTGGCTCCATTTCCCTCCTTAGCCATTTCTAAGAGGCCTAGTCTGAGATCATACTAGGAGGGATCCTGGAAAATACGTGGTACTGGGATTTGGTACAATCTAAATGTGTTGTTGACACATGTCTGCCTCAGAGCTTCAGTCTAGTCTTTTTTCTCTTTTTTTTTTTTTTTTTAGTAGGTTATAGCCTGCTTCTGAGCAAAGACGTTTTGCTGGGGTGCCACCAGTCACCACATAGGCGCTGCCGTATAAAGCCAGCCTGGGTGTTGCATCCTATGGCAAGGATGATAGCGGCCCAAGGCAGAGCATATGGTCATAATGTGAGTCCAAATAAAAGCTAAACCAAGGCATTATGAAAATAGAAGAATACCGTGCTGTTCTGTGCAAGACCCGATGGCTGAGGACGGTCACATGAAGGCTATTTAACTTTACAGGCACTACCAGGCTTGCATAGAAAAGAAGGCATTCCTGGTCTGAAATTTTTGCAATATTTAACTTTTCTTTCTGGCCCCAAATGACAATTGCTTCCCCTCCCATGGAGAACCAAACTGGGGGAAATAGGTGATTATAAACTATGTCCTTTCAGACCTCTGAAAGCCTGCCTCAGAGATTCCTCCACCCATGGCAGTGCCTGACCCCTGCAGGGGCCAGCAAAGCTGGGGGGTCCTGGCAGCAACCCCAGCAACTGGAGAGCATCTGGGACTGCGGGTAGATGAACTCACACTACTGCTCAAGTGCTGTGGTGGGCTGTCACCTACAGGTCAGCTGTCAAAATCCAAAATACTTGCTCAGCAGAAGCAGAGATCTGTGATAATTTGCTTCTACTCATTTTACAGGATGTTAAAAAATTGTGATGTTGTCCCTGCAGGATGGTTTGCAAAGAAAATACAAGTGTTATTTTTTACTTTATTAGTCCTGTAATAAAGTTAACAATGAAGCTATGGACTTGGCTCTCATACATCTTTTCAAACAGGCTTCACAGCATTTTACTATAGCTGTCACTAACACTGCCGTCCCATGCAAGACCTGACGGCCGAGGACAGTCACATGAGGGCTATTTAACTTTACAGGCACTACCAGGCTGCAAGGAAGCTATGGACTTGACTCTCACACATCTTTTCAAACAGGTTTCACAGCATTTTACTATAGCTGTCACTAACACTGCCGTAGTGTTGTAGGTTGAGGAACTGAGCCAGAATAGTCCAGAAAGGGGATTTAAAAACAACTTTCAGGGTCTCAGGCAACTACTCTGTGCTCCAGGACAATATCTGTAACCTTTTGTTACTCTGGTCTCACTATCGAAGTCTTCTCTTCTGCCCCACTACTGCAATCACTGTGGAAAGGTGACATGTGGAAAGGCCAATCTAATATGCTGAGCATGGTTTATTGAGTTCTGCCTGTCCATCTCTTCTGCTGGTGACACGTCACTCCCAGATGTGCCTTGCCAGCAAGGAAACTGTGCTCTACACAGACAGCTCCAGGGATGTAGAGCTATGTTTTCCACTATAGACTCCAGAACAAGGTGCCAGTTGCCAGAGGCGTACTGGGAGACTGACTGGACAGAGGAGCTGTCAGAAGACAAGGACCTGGGACACCTTCTGCAGTTCAGGCTTTAATGGTGATGGGTGGTTTTGCCTTTCTCAGTTCCCTGCAAATCCAGACCCTGATACCTCTTTTGAAACTGTACAAGGGGCTATCAGATTGTAAACACTCAGGAAAAAATCACCAGTAAGGCTGAAAAAAGCCATGGCTCAAGTGCAGTAGGAGGAGTTCCTGAAGACAGAGAGGGGAGAAGTGAACACCCATCAGTGGAGAGCGGAACTCAAGTGACAATCTGGCTCTATTTCCCTCCTTAGCCATTTCTAAGAGGCCAAGTCTGAGATCATACTAGGAGGAATCCTGGAAAATACGTGATACTGGGATTTGGCACAATCTAAACGTGTTGTTGACACATGTCTGCCTCAGAGCTTCAGTCTATTCTCTTTTCTCTTTTTTTTTTTTTTTTTGGACAGGACCTGGAGATAGGCAATCTCCCGAGCAGCTGTTTTCTCCAGGACTGTGAGGTGGATGGAGACCTCAGCACAGTAGGAGGAGTTCCTGAAGACAGTGAGGGGAGAAGTGAACACCCATCAGTGAAGAGGGGAACTCAAGTGACACTCTGGCTCCATTTCCCTCCTTAGCCATTTCTAAGAGGCCTAGTCTGAGATCATACTAGGAGGGATCCTGGAAAATACGTGGTACTGGGATTTGGTACAATCTAAATGTGTTGTTGACACATGTCTGCCTCAGAGCTTCAGTCTAGTCTTTTTTCTCTTTTTTTTTTTTTTTTGGTACACCAAGTTTTCTATGCACCCTTAGGCTAAGGCATTATTTTAATTTTGCAAGGAGGGAGAACATGTCCACCTAAACAGTAGCAGGTGTGTCATGAACCCTCCACCATTTCCTTGAAAGAGGTCTTGACTGTGTGGAACCTAAGGATGCAATAAAAAGCTTAAAGCATGTACCAAAATACATCTGCAGTTACTGTTGCACAACCAGTAGGCATTTCTTAAGTACATATTATTTTGCATAGAAAAGAAGGCATTCCTGGTCTGAAATTTTTGCAATATTTAACTTTTCTTTCTGGCCCCAAATGACAATTGCTTCCCCTCCCATGGAGAACCAAACTGGGGGAAATAGGTGATTATAAACTATGTCCTTTCAGACCTCTGAAAGCCTGCCTCAGAGATTCCTCCACCCATGGCAGTGCCTGACCCCTGCAGGGGCCAGCAAAGCTGGGGGGTCCTGGCAGCAACCCCAGCAACTGGAGAGCATCTGGGACTGCGGGTAGATGAACTCACACTACTGCTCAAGTGCTGTGGTGGGCTGTCACCTACAGGTCAGCTGTCCAAATCCAAAATACTTGCTCAGCAGAAGCAGAGATCTGTGATAATTTGCTTCTACTCATTTTACAGAATGTTAAAAAATTGTGATGTTTTCCCTGCAGTATGGTTTGCAAAGAAAATACAAGTGTTATTTTTTACTTTATTAGTCCTGTAATAAAGTTAGCAAGGAAGCTATGGACTTGACTCTCACACATCTTTTCAAACAGGTTTCACAGCATTTTACTATAGCTGTCACTAACACTGCTATAGTGTTGTAGGTTGAGGAACTGAGCCAGAATAGTCCAGAAAGGGGATTTAAAAATACTCTTCAGGGTCTTAGGCAACTACTCTGTGCTCCAGGACAATATTTGTAACCTTTTGTTACTCTGGTCTCACTATCAAAGTCTTCTTTCTGCCCCACTACTGCAATCACTGTGGAAATGTGATATGTGGAAAGGCCAATCTAATATGCTGAGCATGGTTTATTGAGTTCTGCCTGTCCATCTCTTCTGCTGGTGACACGTCACTCCCAGATGTGCCTTGCCAGCAAGGAAACTGTGCTCTACACAGACAGCTCCAGGGATGTAGAGCTATGTTTTCCACTATAGACTCCAGAACAAGGTGCCAGTTGCCAGAGGCGTACTGGGAGACTGACTGGACAGAGGAGCTGTCAGAAGACAAGGACCTGGGACACCTTCTGCAGTTCAGGCTTTAATGGTGATGGGTGGTTTTGCCTTTCTCAGTTCCCTGCAAATCCAGACCCTGATACCTCTTTTGAAACTGTACAAGGGGCTATCAGATTGTAAACACTCAGGAAAAAATCACCAGTAAGGCTGAAAAAAGCCATGGCTCAAGTCTCAACCCACTGCAATAAGACAAATTTGGTACCAGTCTAGTAAATACACATCGGGTCTCACGAAAGATCTTCCAGCAATATCAAGGCAATCAAGTTCTGATTTAAAATGTGAAGCAGAAGAAAAGTAAAGCTCAGGGATAAGGAAGAGGGATGAAGGAAGCCTCGCCAGAGCCATGGTGCCAGGGTGGGGGCCAGAAAAGCTAGGGGGTCCTGGCAGCAACCCCAGCAACTGGAGAACATCTGGGGCTCTGGGCAGATGAATTCGCACTACTGCTCAAGTGCTGTGGTGGGCTGTCACCTACAGGTCAGCTGTCAAAACGCATACAAAAGAAGAAGGCATTCCTGCTCTGAAAGTTCTACAATATTTAACTTTTCTTTCTGGCCCCAAACGACAATCACTTCCCGTCCCATGGAGAACCAAATGTACAAGGGGCTATCAGATTGTAAACACTCAGGAAAAAATCACCAGTAAGGCTGAAAAAAGCCATGGCTCAAGTCTCAACCCACTGCAATAAGACAAATTTGGTACCAGTCTAGTAAATACACATCGGGTCTCACGAAAGATCTTCCAGCAATATCAAGGCAATCAAGTTCTGATTTAAAATGTGAAGCAGAAGAAAAGTAAAGCTCAGGGATAAGGAAGAGGGATGAAGGAAGCCTCGCCAGAGCCATGGTGCCAGGGTATGTGCTTCATAAGGTAATCTGAAGTGCAGACAGGGCTATTTGCTTCTCTGGAGCTGTGACACAAGGTTGTGTTCTGCAGAATCCCCTGTTTGCAGCATATCCCCACACACCACAGCCCTGACTAGCTCCTAAATAAGCTAGAACAAACTCTATATACACTATTTCCTCATGAGATCGGAGCTAGAGCATCAATATTGTGTTATGATTTATCTATATTCCAGTATATACATCTATAGGAGACACACAATGCATTTAAGAATTCTGACTTCCCACAGTTTTTCCTCTAATTAAGTCGGCGAGGAAACGGTCTTATCCAGACATGCTCTGAACATAACTGGAGTTTAGAATCAAGCTAATGTATTTTAGACAATCATATTGTTAGTGCACTGGATTCTCTTTAAAATACCCACCTTCTGGTGCAGATATATACTCCTGAGTCTTCTAGCATTGCTGGTAAAAACCAGAGTGCATCTAGGCTTTAGTGGTGATGGGTGTTTTTGCCTCTCAGTTCCCTGCAAATCCAGACCCCAATAGCTCTTTTGAAACTGTACAAGGGGCTATCAGATTGTAAACACTCGGGAAAAAATCACCAGTAAGGCTGAAAGAAGCCATGGCTCAAGTCTCAACCCACTGCGATAAGACAAACCTGTACCAGTCTAGTAAATACACATCGGGTCTCATGAAAGATCTTCCAGCAATATCAAGGCAATCAAGTTCTGATTTAAAATGTGAAGCAGAAGAAAAGTAAAGCTCAGGGATAAGGAAGAGGGATAAAGGAAGCCTCTCCAGAGCCATGGTGCCAGGGTATGTGCTTCATAAGGTAATCTGAAGTGCAGATGGCTATTTGCTTCTCTGGAGCTGTGACACAAGGGTTGCGTTCTGCAGAATCCCCTGTCTGCAGCATATCCCCACACACCACAGCCCTGACGAGCTCCTAAATAAGCTAGAACAAACTCTATGTACACTATTTTCTCATGAGATCGGAGCTAGAGCAGCAATACTGTGTCATGATTTATCCAGATTCCAGTATATACATCTATAGGAGACACACAATGCATTTAAGAATTCTGACTTCCCACAGTTTTTCCTCTAATTATGTCGGCGAGGAAACGGTCTTATCCAGACATGCTCTGAACATAACTGGAGTTTAGAATCAAGCTAATGTATTTTAGACAATCATATTGTTAGTGCACTGGATTCTCTTTAAAATACCCACCTTCTGGTGCAGATATATACTCCTGAGTCTTCTAGCATTGCTGGTAAAAACCAGAGTGCATCTCCATTTGCCCAGATTCTTGGATCTTCATCTCTTCCTGATATCATGGTTTTTGAACCATTTTTATACCATGTGATATTAGGGGCCAAGGCAGAAAAATCCAAATGTTTGTATGTGGGGAAAGGGCATTTCAGAACCACAGGTTCTCCATGCAGTTCATAGTAGTGTTTGAAATACACGGTGTGATCTGGGCAGTTTTCTATATAAATCAGAGATATTTTTACATTACTGTCAGCCAGGCACATTGAAAAGAAGGGAGAGGGAGACCAAAAAAAAAAGAAAAAAAGTATGCCCTTACCTGTGCTTTTGACTTGCTGGAGTCTGAAAGAGGAGGCACCCGCTGTGCACATCACCAGGACAAAGAAGAGCCCACACATTTTGTCCCAGAAGAAAGCAGAAGGAGACAGCCAAGGGAAGGTGTCTTGGAATCTACAGGGAGGTTTATTACATGACAGAAGATACAATGTAAATACTCAACATTAACTGAAGAATTAACTGCTCTTTTCCTCACTCCAAGCCTGGTGAGCTTTGGTTTGCCCTTAGTGAGCAGAAAGGCTTCTTCATCCCTAGTTGGCTTGTGGAACAAGAGTATCTGGCTTGGCACAAGCACATCACTTCTGTCCCTTTCTTTCACTCTGGGAGATGCAGACAACATGCCACAAGATGCTGCTGTCCCCACGGCTTTTCAGTGCAACAGCTACGGGTGGAAAAACCCAGCTGTGCTTATTTTGCAATAAGATGTGACTGAGGAGGGGGCCAGCTGTTTCGAGTTAGCTGTAGTGTAGCTTGGGTGAATGCAACAGAATAGACTTTAGCTCCTTAGGCAGTCACTTCAGGTGCTTCCCAAGGGGACCAAAGATGCAACAGAATAGACTTTAGCTTCTTAGGCAGTCACTTCAGGTGCTTCCCAAGGTTGTACAGAGCTCATTAAATCCTGTGTCACTTCATCTTCCCCACTGTGGCTACCAAAGCAGGCCAGCTATCATAGATCAGGCTTCTGGCAAACTTCCTGCTACAACCAGAACCAAGCTTTCAAAGTCTCCAACAAATGTTTCTCTTGGGACAAAAAACTTTGATTCCCACATGTCCTGGTTTGAGCAACATAGGGTTCATTTCTTTTTCAGTAAGGTGTCTTCTAATACCAGGGAAAGCTGCATTTTTTAAAGACTGTAATGTCTGAATTTGTGAAAATATTTCCTTTATTGCCAGGTACAGTATGTGGGTTTCAAGATCTCAGTGTTTTCAAGCTAACACAGCTTCCTCCTGACATAATTGGCCAAGTATAATCCTCATATATTTTATATTGGTATCAGGACCAATATTGGTTCTTTAGTATTATTAATGTTAATTATTTTACATTATTCTATTAAATCTGTTAATATTTCAACCCTCGGGTTTCCTTGCTTTTTCCTTAATTTCCCTTCCCAAGTGGGGATGGGTCACCAGGTGATAGAATAATTGCCTAAACACTAAATTGTAGCGGGTTCTTCGAACCATAACACCAAGGCATACACACTCATCTTGCTGGTGGTGAGCAAGTGAGCTGTCAGCGTGGACATTATTACTGTCTGTGCCAAAAAAAAGATGAGGAAAATTCTGAACAGCTCATCCTAAAAATCAGACATAGTCACACTAAGGGAAAACAAAACTATCCACTGCCAGTCATTCATTAATTGTCATCTGTATCAGCCTGGCACGGGCAAGGCAACTTCTGTGCACATCGCTGAATGCTCCCTGGTCTGCCACGAGGTTTCAGCTGCTGCTACTCAGTTGATTGATTACGTGTTACCTCAGTGTACCACAGGCAAAAATACGTAAAACATGCTATATATAGGCATCAGCTTACGCTCTATGCAAGATATTTATGTGCAAGACAGTACATAGATGCACATGATACATACTATTTCCATTTTATATACAGATATATAAAATGCATGCATTTAACATTAGCCTAACACTATAATTGTCCCATAGGATTAATTTTAAATGGCTGGACAACTGCTTTGAATCGTATCCAAAAGCAAAAATGTATTTATACCAATATAAGACAGTCATATTCATAGGTACTTACCTTCAGGCATCTTCTGTGTATCCCATCATGCTCATATTTATAAAGCAGTTTTAATCTGTAGCTGTTCTAGTAGCTTTATTTTCTGACAACTGACAGTTCCACTATAATAAACTATTTCCAGCTTATTGTCATTTCTACACCACCACAAAGCCAACCTCTTGCTCAATAATACTGTTTCATAACCATGGGTTGTCTCCCCTACCACTAGATCTGCAAAGGTTTCCAGGGCATTGGCATGGAGCTGTAGCCAGGCTACACCTGGACGAGGTGCTCATGGCTTTTCCTGTAACATTAACGAGTCCCATGGTTCACATGTAATACCCTGTAACGGGAGAGTTTCTCTCTTGTTATATCCTTTGCCTGACAAAAATACGTGTTTATTTTTTTCAGAGCTTTCCAGTCCCCTTGGTTTAGTATCTAGCAATCTCCATAAGCCCTACACAACCTGAGGGTTTAGGGGAGGTTTTCATTCCTGTATTTCCATCAGATTCACTTACCTGTGGTTCTGCAGTCTTTCAGCCATCAGCTTCTCATGAAAAGATTTAAGACTGAAAATTGCCAGTGAGGACTTTATAAAGGGTTTAGCACAACCCACAGCGGAAATTTGTCTCTTGTTGCCCAATCAGATTTGTGTCAGAACCAATGACATTTTAAAGCCATCTTTCTTTCCTTCCGCAGAGTAAGGATGAGAGAAACAGACACACGGAAAGAGGGAAAAAGTGTGTATTTGGATTTCCCAAAAAAAAAAGGGGAAATGACTGCTAAATATATGACTATATTTCCCTTTTTCTGACGAATGGCAGCTTGCATACACTCATGTCTTCACATGACTATTTCACGCTCTACTTCAAATAAAAAATTCTCATGGGTATCAAAAGGTGTCCTGCAGCACAGTCAGCAGCTAAATAATTGCAATCCTCACAAAATGTGGTTTAGCAAGTTCTCCATGGACAATGTAAATCTTTTGTGATTTCCCAGATTGCTTGTGAATCACAAATGGGTTGATTCTACTTTCCTTCCGTAACATCCATCTTAAGTGTCACAGCTGACACTAAGGCTGTCTTTGCAATGGAGTATAAAGAATTAACAGATATAAGTAGATTATGGCATCCAGGCTCATGAGCAGAAGGGGTACAGATATAAGTTGATCATGGCATCCAGGCTCATGAGCAGAAGGGGTAAGAACTGGGTTGTGAATTACAGCAACATTGGCCTCCAACTGTTTAGAAAGGGTAATCTAGCAGAAGACTTCCGTCTGGAACCGGACCACAAATCAGTTGTTCCTGTGCCTTGTCCTGACATGTGATGCCTCCTGCAGGCAACCCTGAATTTCTTACTTGATCCCTCAAAGAGGGCAATCTAGCAGAAGACTTCAGTCTGGAACTGGACCACAAACCAGTTCTTCCTGTGCCTTGTCCTGACATGTGATGCCTCCTGCAGGCAACGCTGAGTTTCTTACTTGATCCCTCAAAGTCTCTTGGTCCCTCAGAGAGCAGCAGTCCTGCGGTGCCTCGTTGCTAGCCCAGGAAAGCAATGTGTGGTGGTGGGCTGGACCTGGAGTCAGCACACAGGTGCCTGCTAGCAGACCTCAGCAAAATGTCCTCCCCTCCCCGGACTTCGAAACCTCAGCTGAGCAGCCCAGGTCTGGAGCACTGAGGTCCTAACCTAAGGCTCAGGCTTTTTGGTGCTTTCACTGACCGAATAGTGACTGAGCAATAAAAACAACTTAGCTGTTTATTGCAGTAAGCTTATAAGAACCATTTTTTATTTAGCCCTAACATCATTCATTATGTCCTTCTCTAACTAATATCAGCCTCAGTTGTACCAGAGACTACAGAGTATTGTTTAAGAGATGAAAAATCATCAGGTTTTGAGACCATGCTGCCACCTACTATGGCGAGAAGAAACGTACAGATGATGACATCTATTAATATATTGCAATCTTTAGGGTTGTGTCACATGCTTGGATCGCACACATCCGTTTGTGCAGGCAATATCCACTGCATTACAGCAACTTCAGAAAAGAAACAAAAAGAAAAAATCATGCATTTCAATCTGTAATGCTCTTTACAGTTTCTGTATCCTGACCAGTGCAGTCACTGCAAGAGTCTCTGCAGCTGCCAGCCCCACACATGCTGGCCTGGTTTTCCCTAAGCAATCCTGTTGTCCCTAAACCCGAAAGGTTGATAATGCACCTGAAGTTAGTTACTGACCTGTAGTGCTCCATCGTCTTGGTGAAAAGAAAGAGCTCATCACCACTGATGTTAAACTCCTACATTTGGGCTACGAAACCACTGGTCTTGCTTCCTGGACCCCCAACACTTCATTCCAAGAATCTGACTTAATGAACTATAAAATTATTTCAGTCCTTCCTTTTTCACTTTCAGACATAAGGGCTGTCAGATTGGGTGACCTATCTTATATTACATCTAAGATCAGGCTGTTACTAGATGAGTGACTTACGCAATAGAGGTGGGAGTCTCTTAACAGTAACCCTGGTCACAAGAGCCAGGCAAGTTCCCAGCAAATAACCCAGGTGTTTACCGGGCTCAAAAAGAGCAAAACTGCAGGAAATTGGGTTTGATGTCTTTGGAGAGATTGTACCTACCAACTACTGCAAACACAGTCATTGCATTGACTGGGGAATCAAGCCGTCCACCAGCAAGCTGCTCAACGAGCAGCAGAACTGGCATCACCTGCTTTTCTGGAGATTCCTGCCCCCCTGCCCTTATCATACACGTACACCCCTCCACTCCAGTCACTTCAACTCTCCTCTCGTGGCCTTTACCCACCACACTCCATCCCTTTCCTTCCCCTCACTCCCTGTCCTCTGCTCCCACCTTACCCAAGACTAGTTTGCCTAGGCCAGGTGCACCACATCCTTGGGCTCGCTCCCAACCACATTGATGCTGACTGGTCAACTTCTCATTACCCATCACCACATACGTGTAAGGACTGGGTTCTGCCTGACTTTCCCTCGGTGAGGCAACGCTTTGGGTTTCCCATCTGTACGCAGCACCAGTGACCAGTTTTCCTCACACTACTACAACTGCAGACTCTTTGAAGGCACAGCCTCTTGCAAAATACAGCTGAAGCAGGCTAAAGGGTTCAAAGTGAGTTTATAGTGCAATAATATATGCAGACCTGCCTTAGAAAACTTAACTAAAACCATGTATCTACAGAGTAGCAGTGCAGTTTCCAGATAGCACCGTGTCCTCAGATACACCTAACAAAGATCAACACTTTTCATCAACTTTCTTCGGAAGAGCTCTGTCCTGGCTGACTTTTTACCCGGAAAATATCCTAATCACATGCACCAGTACCAGGAACTTTAAGCTAAAATATTATATTTGGAGGTGCAAAAGTCTGGTTTAAAATAACTCTGGAAGAAATGAAAGATAGAACCCCAATTTTTTTTAGGAGCTGTCTGCTGAGAAGGCCATGTCACTTTGCGGTCAGATATTACTGAGTGTTTATAAACAGAAATGTGCAAGTCTAGCAGCTATAAATATAGAGATAGATTCTTTTAGGGAAGCTGGTGTCATTCTGTGGTTTCGCTGTGCTGATGATTCATTTATACAGCTCAAGAGGCTAGAGCATAGCTGTGAAATTCCTAACTCGAAGACCAGGCTATTCCCCATATGTCTCACTCATTGCTCATCTCACCAGATCGCTATTTCCCACACCGGGGCTACACGCAGCTGCCTTCCCGCATTTGAGTGGATTTTGCTCTTTTGGACATCCCCATAAAATAACGAACATCTCAAGTAATATTTAGGGCTCTGGCAGTTCCTTGCAACAGAGGCTTTCAAAAGGCCTCCACAAACGAGGTTCCTCTGTTCATTATCCCTAGGAAGGGGAAATTCAGACATCATGGAGTGGGGATAAAACCATTTCTATAAGGGACATTTAAGGTGCCAGCATTTCCTAGCGACTCATAGGATCTGATGTCTGTCTTGGAGGAACTCATCCAAGTGAGTGCCCAGCGACAGGACAAAAGGTAATGGGCACAAAATGGAACATAGAAAATTCAATCTGGAACCTACAGAAAAACTTCTTTACTTTGAGGATAACAGAGAACTGGAACAGGCTGCCCAGAGAGGTTGTGGAGTCACCTTCTCTGGAGACATTCAAAACCTACCTGGACGAGTTCCTGTGCAACCTGCTCTAGGTGGACGTGCTTTGGCAGGGGGGAATTGGACTAGATGATCTCCAAAGGTCTCTTCCAACCTCCACCATTCTGTGATTCTGTGGAGTGACCCTGTGGCTGATACTGTTTGGCACCCAGCAACTGTACTCACATAGAACTTTGCTATTTATTCAGTTATTCAGTTTGGCTGAGCCAGCTTCACTTCATTAAAAGAAGGAGAAAATTTCTCTGGTTCACATAAGAATAAGATGGTGAGGCATTAAGAAATATTGAATGTTGAAAGCTGGCTGGCAGGCAGATGCAAAGTAAACCACAACTATTGCACCAACACATGTTCTTGGGCTTTATTGATATGGGCAAACCTGGTTTTAATAATTTATGATGTCCTTGTGCACAGTTCCCAGATGGGCTCTTGGGGAGCACAGAAATGGAAAGAGAATTAAAGAAGCTATCCAGCTCTGAGAAACACCAAATACATGGGACAGAAAGAGAAAGACTAAACAGAGGAATTAACCCGATGCACAGCAGATGCCAAGAATACAAGAATTGGCATGCTTATGCAGGGAAATAAGTGCTGTCATATATCAGTTGTGTATGACTGACTGGGAGAAACAGAAGGAGATAGGCCAAGAGACATACGCTTTGTCATGAGGGAGTGTTCATTTGGCCAGAGCAGCAACAGCCTGGTTAGAGATTGCCTCCCTGCTACTCCATGGGCTCCTGGGATTTCCACATGCCCTTTCACTGCAAAAGAAACCAGGCAGGCTGTGAAGAATAATTACGCTGTCAAGAGCTGGAAGGGGAAGGGAGGAGAAGACCCTCATTGTAGAAGTCGACAGGCTGCAAAGGAACAAAGTAATGGCCAGAAAGGTCCAGAGACAGCAGCACTGGGGCCAGAAGTACTTCAAGCAACAAAAA